CACATTCCTCCTCATACAGCCCAGTGTCTTGGATGATCTGTTCTAAATACAGATTGAAAAGGTATGGAGACAAAAGCAGTCAACCTTTTCATTAACAACGTGATATGCACTCTGCCTCTACACTCTATCATATACATTGCATTATTAACCCACTAACCAGCTGTGCCTCGCAGTTTTTGTTTATGATTCTCTACTACTGCTCCAAAATAGTGAGCTAAATTAACAAAGAAAAGTAATCGTTGTCAATGATCTATATACTGTCGAGTATGATTCATTGTAATCCTGGTTGTTGTTGCTGTTGTTGTTAAATGTCATCAAGTAGCTTGTGAATCATAGCAACTCTATGTCCAACAGCTCTGAAACCTGCTTTATCCTGTGTCAGTCTCATCGTCTCTGAAACATTACCCCAATCACTGAGTCAATCGATCTCATCCAGGGTCTTCCTTCCTTGTACTGTACCACTCCCCTCCCAAGCATGATGTCCCTATCCAAGGACTGGTCCCTCCTTGCAACATGCCCCAAATATGTCAGATGGAGCTTGATAGAATTCTTGCCTCCAAGGTGCAGCCTTGTCTCATCCTCTCCAGGATGAACCTGTTTGTTCTCGTAGCAGTCTATGGTATAATCAATACTCTTCTCTAGCACCACAACTCAAAGGCATCAATTCTCCTTCTATTATCCCTAGTCATTGCACAGCAAATAATTGAAAAGATCATGATCAGGCACACTTTAGTCTCCAGACTGACATAGTTGCTTTTGGTACTCTGAAGAGGTCCCTGACAGCAGATCTCCCCAATGGCATTTGTCTTTTGGTTTCCTGGATGCTAGTACTAAGAGTGTTATTTGTGGAGCCAAGCAAACTAAAGCTGTTAACAATCTCAGTCTCTTCACCATCTATCATGATGCTGCCTATCGGCCCAGTGGCAAGAATCTTCGTCTCCTTGATGTTGAGCTTCAATCCATATTGAAGGCTGCAGTCCTTGACCTACAGCAAGCACTTCAGGTCCTCAGTTTCAGCAAACAAAGTTGTGTCATCTGCATAATGCAGGTTGTTGATGAGTTTTCTTCCAGTCCTCACACATTCCTCCTTATAGAGCCCAGACTCTCAGATCAATTATTCTGGACATAGATTGAAAATGTATAGAGATAGAGTGTATCCCTGTTCTATACCTTTCCTCATTTTGAACTATACATTGTCTCCTTGCTCTGTACTGACTGCCTCCTGGTCCACTAATGGTGCTTTTTCTGTTCTTCTCAGAGTTAGCTAGTTTGTTGTGATCTTCATGGTCAAATGCCTTTGCACAGTCAATAAAACACAGATAGACATTCTCTATTTTCAGTCAAGATCCATTTAACATTAATAAGGAATTACTTGAAGTTTAAGTGGTATTTAGAAGGGGCCATGGCACCATGGATATCATTCCTGATGTGAGATGGATCCTAGCTGAAAGTAAAAAATACCAGAAGAATGTCTATTTGTGCTTTATTGACTATGCAAAGGCATTTGTGAACCATGACAAGTTGTGGCTGACATTGAGAAGAAATACCAAGCAAGTGTGGCCCTTTTGATTTTCTGACTCTACCTCTTAGCACATTTCATTATAATACTTTGTCTTCCCGTGCTGCCCTTTGAAATCTGCTGTTCTTCTCCTTCTCGATTTCTTCCCTTTGTTTTGGCTTCTCAGTGTTCTAGTGCAATATTCAGAGTCTCTTCTGACATCCATCTTGGTGTTTTCTTCCTCCTCTGTCTTTGTAATGATCTTTTGCATTCTTCCTGGATGATATTCTTGATATCCTCCACAGTTCATCTGGTTTTTGCTCATTGATGTTCAAGGCCTCAAACCTGTTCCTGAGATGGTTTTTAAATTCAGATTAGATCGATTCAAGGTCACATTTTGGTTTCTGTGGATTTGATATAATCTTCTTTAGGTTTACTTTGGTTTAAACTTAAATGTGAGTAGTTGATGGTCTGTTCCACAATCAGCACCTGGCCTAGTTTTCAAGCAGATATTGAACTTCTCCAGTGATTATTTAAACAAATGTAATCGATGTGAAAACAAATCTGAATCCTGTCTTATCCTGTGCCATCCTCATCATCTTTGAGACACTTGAGCCCATTGCTGTGGTCACTGTATCAATCCATCTGGTTGGGAGTCTTCTCCTTTGACAACCCCCCCACCTTTCCAAGCATAATGTCCCTTTCAAAGGAATAGCCTCTCTACAACATACCTAAAGTAAATGAGAAGACTCTTCATCATCCTTGTCTCCTAGAAGCATTTTGGCTGCACTTTCTCCAAGATATATCTGTTTGCTCTCTTGGTTGTCCATGGGATATGCAGTATTCTTCTCCAACACTCTAATTCAAAGGAATCAATTCTTCTTTTATCCTTATTCCTTACCAGCTCCCAGGGGTACTGCAAGTGATTGAAAAGACCATGGTCTGAATCAGACTCACCTTAGTCTTCAAACTATCATCTTGACTCCTAATACTTTGGAGTTGACTTGCCCAATACAAATTGACGGGAACATGCATTCAACAAATATATATATATATAAATATAAATGTGCCAAACCCTCCATATAATATGTTGAGTATTTTTATTTTCTGAAATTTACAAAGATATAAAAGAATGGGATTATTTTAAAATTAGGCAAAACGTATTATTGTTTCCAAACAGAGAAGGAGGGTGAAGACTGGAAAGAATTCATATTGTCCACCTGAGAAATGTCTACTTCAAAAAAAGGACAGTAGATCTGACACCTGACAAAGAGTGCATAGGGTGACATGTCCCCAAGCTTCCTTCCAAATGCAGTGGGCGGTAGCTGCACTGGGAGGGAACATATCCTGAAGTGTTGGGGGAGTAATTTGCAGATTCATAGGCCGTCCCAGAAACCAGCCGCCACCCCACCTGCTCCTGGGCGGGAATCCCCGCCCCCCAGGAGAGCAGGCCAATCGGCTTGGCCTCGGCGAGCGGGGCGGGGCTGAGCGAGAGGCGTGAGGCTCAGGGGGCGGGGCTGCGGCTCCCTGCGCGGTGGTGGCGGTGGCTGCAGGGGCGTTGGTGGCGGCTTCTGGCCTGGCGTCAGAGGGCGCTGGGGGATGGGGGCGGTGAGCGCCAATCCTCGGGGACAGCGGCCGTAAGTGTGGACCTGGCGTCGGCGTCCTGAGCGCAGAATGGAGTACTCCGGTGAGTTTGGGCGTCGGCTCCGGGTTCCGGACGCGGGTCCTTTAACACCAGCCGGAGGATTGCCGTCCAGGGTCCGGGCTGCCCAAGCGTCCACTGCGGTGGAGGCGGCTGCAGGCTGTGTGGGTGGCCGGAAGGCCGGGGTCGGGGCTCCTGCCCTCGAGGGCAGGTCTGACCCGGGCGAGGGGTGCGTGCGTCGGGAGCTAAGGAGCGGGAGGACGCGAGCGAGTTTTGGGGCGACGCCACGGGGCCAGTCGAGGGACTTACCTGCTTCCAGATTTCGCGAGCGTCCCGCAGTCCCGCTTCCCTTTCTAGACACCCGTCCCCTTGCGGAATTCAGGGACTCCTTTATGGCGGCCTTCGCGGGGTTCTTGGAAACGTCTTTCTCAGTTGGGATCTTTTTTGAGTTTGGTTGCGCGCCTTTTCAAAGTTTAGCTTGATTAATGCAAAGGCTGAGATTAACATAAGAGACGTCTTATACCCCATATGTACCTGTTGTTACCAGACTTTGCTTTACCTAGCCTTGGGCTGTTTATTCCTTGGAGGGAAGGGAGTGTATGAAGATAGTAAAACCCAGTCTTCCTTTTCCCAGGCTGCCCCTCTCTGGTTGTCTCTGTCACTTGCGCGGCCTCTCTCTTTTCCTCTCTCTGGTTGCTGTGCGCCTCACCTCGCGTCCCGTCCACTTTTCCCAGCCTTCGCCCCAGGACGAGACGTGTACTTTAAATAAGAGTTGACAGGCAGAAGAGTGAAGCTACTACAGGGAGAGGACATGCAACCTTGTGAGTTTGTTTACTGGAATGCCCCAGGAGTTTCTGACTTCCAGGTGCCCCAGAGGCGAGGGCAGGTGGGAGAGGAATGTGGAAGGGGACACTTGCTTTGGTCGGAACCAAAAGACAGGGTCTTTCCTTGTTTTTAGTCTTCCTTGAAATGTCTCAAAGTCTACATTGAAACAACTACTAACTCTCTTTCGAGAGCAGAATTCTTTTACTCACTTCCTCCACGTTGGGTTTTTAAAAAATTTTGTTTTGTTTTTTTAAATCCTTGGCATTCTATCTTCTAAAGATGGCTTTTTAGGGATGCTAAAGGAGTGTGTTTTGAGTGTCCCAAGGAATCTTCTTCCTCCTCACACCTACTTAACCATTTCTTTACCTTTTCTTTTGAGAGGGTGAATGGGGTAGGTGGTATGCCCCTGTTTAAGAAAAAATAATTAAAAATTAGATATGAAAGCAAGTAGTTAGAATCAGTAAAGAAATCACACACAAAAATTAGAATAGCATTGATTATTGAGGCCCCCTATCTGAGATTTTTTTTTAAAGACAGTAGACAGAAATGAGTACTTTGAAATGTTTCCTGATTGGAGGAACTTTGCAAATAGTCACCCCAAAGCTAAAGCTTCCTTAGATTTACAATATGTATGCTACTGGTTCTGAGAAAAGTTTAAGAATGAACTTGAAGAAAGTAAAAAAGGCCCCAGGGATAGAAAATATTTCCATCCTCAAATTGGCAGGAAATAGAACTTTGGCTAAGAGGATGAATAAATACACTGTCCTGTTGATCTGTGATGGTTGGTCACTCCCTGCTCTCCCCACCTCCTTAAAATAGAACATTCCCCTAAGCACCTTCACTTCAGCACCTCACATAGCAGGTTGGCTGTAAAAAGCACTTGACCAAGGAATGTAGACTTAGGCAGCCACTGTTATTGGTCCCCAGAAAGAGTACCAGATAGAACAAAAGTTATGTTTGGAAACCACCTTGCAAATATTACTGGTTGGCTCAGGGCTCACTAATAAATTCTGGTGGGATTCTGATCTGTGCTAGGCAAGGTCCTATTGAAGTTTTCTATTGTTTGGTAGAATATTCAATACTAACTAAACAAGTAATGAAGAAGTCCTGTGGTGCAATGGGTTAAGCTTGGGCTGCTCACTTGGCAGTTTGACAGTTTGAATCCACCAACCACACTTTGAGAGAAAGAGGACTGTCTCCTTCTGTAAAGTTTTATAGCCTCAAAATCCCAATGGGGCAGGTAATTTTGTCCCATATGACTAATGTAAGTCAGAATTGACTCAACGGTAATGCATTTTGGTGGTGCAATGGTTAAATTCTCTATTGCTAATTAATTAAAAGGTTGGTAATTGGAACCCAACAGCAGTTCCAGGGGAGAAAGACCTGGTGGTCCAGTTCTACAAAGATTACAGCCTAGGAAATCCTACAGGGCAGTTCTATTCTGTACAGTGGGATTGCTTTGAAGAAAACGGACTCTGCAACACACAACCACAGACCTAATAATATGAGCTCCCCAGTATATGTAATACACATTGCTGGTTTTTCTTCTCTCCAGAACCCAGCTCAAGATGTTTGGTATCCAGAGTGATTCTAGAGGACCAGAGTATTAAAGAATGAATTTTCTGAATTAGCTCCTAAGTCTGACTAGACCTAAATACACTGATGATTCTAATTCTGGAAGAGAAGAAACTCACCCTAATCCATGGTGTGAGTTAGCAGTGAAATAAGGTAAAATATCAACCACCATTGGTCAGATATTTGAAAGAAAAATGGTTTATGTCAAATATTTGGGAGAGAAAAAACTCAGGTCATTGTGTATTTGATGTCTTCCAACATTCCTGTCAAACTGAAAAGTATAGGGAGACTGGTTGGTTGGTCCTTCTTTAGCTAGACAAAGTGGTGACAGGACAAGATGAATTTAGGAATTCAGAGTCACACCTCACACAACACATAAAAGACCTGAAAGTTACCGACTTGTGCCTTGAAAGAATATCTTCCTTCTTATACTAGCAAAACCTGATGTTGATGATCAAACTCAGAGTAGCTGAATTACAAGACCAGTTAAATTCAAATCCCCATATAAGCTAAAGTGAAGGACCATTGAGGAAGAAGAAATGGAATCCTGATACTTGGAGTCATATGGTAAGATAACCAGAAAGTTGGGAACATTGAGCCTCTGGATTCTTTTGACATAATCCTGTCAAAAGAACTAGTCTTAGAACTTTCATCTGAAGAGATTACTCTGTCTTTGTCTACTAAACCACTTTCTCAGTAAAACCTTATCCCTTCTGTCTTGGTCAGACCACTCTGCAATGCCTGAAGAGTCTTTCTTTTAGTATTTTAGCTTGAGAACCCAATAATTTATTTAGGTTGGAGCATAAATTAAATTGTGGACTACACTAGATCAAGTTGAAATGTCAGACATGTCAGGCTTAGTGAAATTGGTGTTAGAGTGAATTTATATATTGAAGCTAAAGACCAACTCATGGAAAACACTACTTGAAAGATAAGAAAAAGATACACATTTTATCATAACAATGAGGATCAAATTTCTGAAAGTGTAATTCACCACCTTAATAGTGCAAAGGAAAAGAAGAGCCACGTGATCATCTCAGTCAATGCAAAAAGGGCATTTGACAGAATTTTAACTTCTTTTCCTGATAGAAATGTTGAACAGAATAGGAATAAAAGGAAAAATCTTCAACAGAATTAAAAACAAATGTACAAAACCAGTGACCAACATTGGCGTCTGTCAATGGAGAGAAATTGAAAGCATTCGTCATGCAGTCAGGAACCAGACAAGGGTGCCCTTCTGTTCACCAAAGGAAAGGAATACCCTCTAAGAGATGAAATGATATGATCATTGCAACAATGGGTTTAAATGGCTTTTATGAAGATGGTGCAGAATCAGGCAATGTTTTGGTCTGTTATTTTATAAGGTCAGTATGAATTAGCATAGACTCAGTGACAGCTAACAAACAAAAAGAATTCAACATTATTTAGGAATTCCTAGCCACAGCAATAGGCAAGAAAAGGAAATAAAAGGCATCCAAATTACAAAGAGGAAATGAAATTATTTCTGTTTCTAGGTGTATGATCCTATATATAGAAAATGCCAAAGACACAGGAACAAAAGTAATGGATTCAGTTGAGCTAGTCAGCAGAGTGTCAGAGTATGAGATCCACATATAAAAAATCAGTCAGATTCTTCTAAAGTAATAGAAACATGAAAAGGAAATGAGGAAAATAATGCTATTTACAATAACTACTCAAAAGAGAAAATACTTTAGAATATCTAATCAGAGATACAGAAGACCTAGACAAAGAAAACTGCAAACACTACTACAAGAAACCGAAAGAGATCTCCATGAATGGCAGTATATACCATGTTCAGGGATGTAAAAAAAAAAAAAAATAAAAAAAAAATCGTAAAAATGTCCATACTTCTGAAAGTAATCTACAGATAAAATGCACTCTCAATTCACATTCCATCATTCTTCAGAGATGACAAAAGTAATCACCAACTTTATGTGGAAAGAGATTCCCCAGTGAAGCAAAACCCTACTGAAGAACAACAAAATAGGAAACCTTGTACTTCCTGATCTCAAAATATGCTATACAGCTTCAGTAATCAAGATAATATAGTGCTTGGTTTAGCAACAGATCCTAGGCTAATGGAATAGAATTGAAGACCCAGAAGTAAATCCATTCACTAGGTACAGCTGTACACAAAGGTGTAGACTCCATTAAGTGGGCAATAACTGCCATTTTAATGAATAGTGTTGGCTAAACTGGATACCTATTTGTAGAAAATTGAAACAAGATCCATACTTTACACTGTATTAAAAAAACCTAACTCAAGATGGGTTATGAGAAAAACTGGGTAAATTATGTTTACTGCATTGAAGTCTATGAGGGAGAGAATAGTTTAAAAGTATTATATTTTAGGGCATTATGTTTATCAT